CGGGTTTTAGGGTTTTGGAGTCGAAGGGTTTAGGGGTTTAGGGTTCCTTCAAAAGGATCTATGAGGGTACTACAATGGGGTTTAGGGTTTAGGTCCTCTTAGGGTTTTGAGGATTAAGGGTTTGAGGATCGGGGGATTCAGAGGTTAAGGGTTCGGGGTTCAGGGTTTAAGGGGGTTCTGGAGTTGAAGGGGTTTCGGGGTTTAACGGTATTTGGGGTTTAGGGGTTCGGGGTTTTAGGGTTTACGCTTTAGTTTGGGGATTCAGGGTTTCGGGGTTTAGGGTTCGGAGGATTCAGAGGTTAAGGGTTTGGGGTTGAGGGGTTTAGGGCTTAGGGGATTTAGGGTTTAGGCTTTGGTTCTGCAAGGTTTCCCGAAAGAGTTCTCTCAAGGTTTCTATAAGGATTCTTTAGCGAAGAGTTTCTGGGCTAAAACCCCCACCCAATAATAGTATAGACCAATCCTTGTACAGTTGGATAATCGGCTGTAGACGGCTGGCAAAGCCGCTTTGTCAAGAGCTTTGTAGGGATTCAATGACGGCCAGAAGTTATAACTTGATGGGGATGCCTGCAGGAATGTGGACCCCGGGGATGCTTACGGAAGGGCTAAGGTGCAGCGGTTTTCAAGAACAACTCAGGAATAGGAAGGGGGTTTGGGTTTCATGTGCTGCTTCATGCAAGTGAGGCGAAGGCAGTGGAGGCGGCCACCCAAAGAACTTCGGCAGTTCGCGCATCTTTGGAACCTCAAACGAAGGCCCACAGCACTCACCTCTCGGTTGCCGAAACTTTAAACCCTCAACCCTGAATGCCCTAAATCCCCACACCTTTGAACCCTACGTCCTGGGCCCTGCAATCCCACAAGTCTGAATCCAAAAACCCGGAATCCTAAATCCTAGGCCTTCTACACCAAAATGGCCGGCCTGAGACGTCCCACTCCCCGGCTTCCGAAGCACCAGGCACCTTGAATCCGGACTTGCTCGTGAGCTGCTTTCGATGTTTGATAATGGACTTGCTGCAGTTTCATATCCTACAAGTGAAGGGGGAGGCTTGTCTCGACGTTCAAAAGCGCAGCATGGTCCACACGACTCGCAATCGCTGGCTTTTGCACAAGGCATTCTACTGCCTTAGGTTCGTCCAGTGAACATTGCCTAATCGTGACCAGAAGTTTGCTGATACCCGTGCGTGCTGCTAGGAAAAACACCCTTCGCTGCCCGGGCACGGCCAGAGCCAGCGACACGGCAGAAGCCTTGGCATCGGCCCACTGCCCATGCATTGCCGCATCACCTGGGTGGCTTGAAAAGGCTGCCAAGCCCGTGCCCGAAGCAGTATCCCCCTGATTCGCCAAGGCCCAGCACACACAGAGCCGACTGGACGTCTTTCTCCAGGGACCCGGCGAAACGTGTGGGCGAACGACAAGATCGCCTGACCAAACGTCACAGTCTCACTGGAGTCCGCTCAGAGGAATGTCAAGGCACCTGAGAAGCCGCCATCAAGGCATGTCTGCCGGCAGCACGGCCGCAGCAGCACCCCTCAAGCCGAAATGCAAACTTGGTCAGCACGCAAACAAAGGAAATACAGCTGCTGATCGTTAGTGCAGACATATGTTTCCCAACCCTTGAATCAGGCTTATGCTGAAAAATTTTCCAAACCTTACCTATTCATTAGCGATAGATAGTCGGAATTCAAAAACGATGGCTTGAAGCTCTGCTATTAGTACTGCGTGTCAGGGTTCGGGTTGCGAGCACCAGGGCGGATATGGGTTGTCTACGACATGAAGCAACCATGTTGATCCGTTCTCACAAGGCGACCTACCATGAATGGACAACCAGCAGGCTGGTAGCTTTTCGGAGTTGCCGACACGAGACACGAGCAGACCAGAGAAACATTTTGAGGATGGTGTGAGATACCTGATTCTGAGCCTGAAGCGCTAGACAAAAATCACAAAATGGCGAGGCAAGTCTTCCAGAAAGGGCGGCAGTCGATACGGGCCTGCTCCTGTTGCTGCACGTGGAACTTTACGCCACTTCAACAGCTGTCGACTGGCATAAAGGTGGACTTTAGTTTGGCCCTTTGCTGGTTATGAAAGACACTGTACAGGGTATGGATACGAGTGGTGCTACCGATACGATCGATGCTACAAGGCTTGTAGACAGTATGCATACGGTAAGTGTTATAGATGGGAATGTTACTAAAGATACTATGGGCAGTAAAACTACAGAACATAGGGATTATAAGATTTATAGGATGCTATTCAGAAAATACAGGGTATGTACAAAGGATAGACGGGGATTATACATGACTTGTGTCGACAGAAGCGGCGAGAACGAGTTCTGGTCGTACTGGAGCTGCTCCGTGGATTGGAGATGCCATGAGCTACGTACTCCCGCCTCATCAGGTGATGGTTGTCACCAGCGCCCAATGAGGGACGAGTTTAGGAACTGCTAATTAGCTATCAACCACCATCGCCAAAAGAGGCGTCGCGTTGTGATGTAGGAGCATCTGCCATCGCCTTATGAGGAGTGGGTTTTAGGCACGAGTTTTAAAGCGAAGGGTGAACAGGATATTATAGGGTATGTAGGGTATGTGCGGTATACAGGTATAAAGACAGGGTATAAGTTATATAGGATATACAGGATATGTGGGATTTTCAGGATATACAGGTTGTGTCGGAATGTATAAGGCTGCATGATTGTTGCAGGGGCTGCTATAGATACCATATGCATTATGGGATCCCTTTCTACGGCAAATACTTTAGATAGCATATGTGCAGACTATAAATGATACAGACTTCGTATATACTTTAAAGTCCGTAGATATTATGGATACCGAAAATACAACAAAACCTGAAGGTATGGAAATCTATCTGTCCTATCTGTATTTTTGCATTATCTAGACATTACCGAGGACCGAGGCTATCTGTATATGTATGCGTGTGTACACTTCTGTAGACATTCTGTACATCCTGTTTCTTGCATATCCTACATATCCCTTAAACATGTATCCCATGAATGACATACACCAAAAAACGAGGCGGGCGTTCTCCACGAGGCAGCGCATCAACCGAACAGGCCGCGGGCTGGCTTCAAGAGACTCAAAGCTGTTTTTTCAGCCGTAGATTTGCTTCTCTGGCTTTCAGTGCTCGGCTGACGCCTGTTTTCTCAGCCACAAAAAACCTGCCGTGGACCGTGAGAAGATCTGTGGCCCAATACGCCACAGATCCAAGTTGAGACTTTTCACCTGCAGTGGTTGATACAACCTGTGGCCAGTAACAGACTCGCTAGCAGCTGGCAGGTGTGCTCCAGACATCTCTACATCCCTTCTCTTGTGTCACGCCGTTCTTTGGCTTGGCAGGCACTGCGACGATCCTCCGCAACCTGTACTTTGATGAGTCTGAACTGAACTGAACACAGCTTGCAGAAAGTCATAGCGCACCTGCATCCTGCGAAAACGACGTGAGAGAATTGCTCTGGAACTGCAATAGATTCCAAAGCTGATTGGAGCCCTTTTAAGTCTTCAATCGCATCGCAATTTTGTTTTGCTGGAAACGAAACTTCGAGGCTTGAAGAGTGGAATCAAGAGAGCTGCAAAGGCTTCCAAGCCCCTCCTGCATCTCTCTTCAAAATTTCAATTCCTTCGAAGGCTTTGAAGCTGCAGCCTTCACGGCCCTGGTTCAAAGCCCTTTCATTGTTTCTTTGAGCTTCGAACCTTCAAGCCGAAAGCCTTCGCGGCCTTCTTCAAAGGCTTCGAAGCCCCCTTCATCCCTCTTTGAAGGAGAGGGGTCTTCGAAGCCTTCGACAGGGCTTTGAAGACTTTGAAGCCTGCGAAGCGGAGGAGAAAGTGCTTCGAAGTGTTTGCTTGGAGATAGACAGCTGCAAAGATGCTTCTGAGAAACTGAAGGAGCTTTACAGAACGAACTTGTGCCTTAGGCATGGACTGTGACCTGTTTGGACCAGAGCCTGTGGGACCTGCTGGTTCTGTGGAGTTGTTTAAAACTCAGCAAGCAGACTAGGTTGCACCTGCCAGTGCTTCAGTGCAGCTCCAGAAGGTGGAAGTGTTCCAGTTCTGCGAGGATGGGTCCCCCTTGAAGCCCCCCTTTAAGCCCCTTTAAAGCCCCCTTTAAAGGGGTCTCCCCCCTTTAAGCCCCCCTTTAAGCCCCCCCTTAAGCCCTTTTTTTTGGCGTGGGCGGGCCTCACAGACAGCAGTTGCTGCACTCGGTCCCAATAAGAACTACAAGAACACCAAGAAAACAATAAAGAGCTGTACAGAAGAATCCTATCGAGTGAAACAGGCCGCGACTTGCAGACTTAGCCAGCAGGGATCGTTCGGCCTTTAAGGGGTAGCATCTCTCAGTTGTCCTTTTCCCGAAAGAGCAGCTTGAAACATGCATCCATCAACCAGCACGCTTCATGGCAGATGTGTAGCGGAAGAGCGGCCCAGCTTCACAGTAGCGTGAGTCTCGCAATGCAAGCAGCGAGGAGGAAAAGCCGCTGCCACGTGCCCTTTATGCAGAGCTATCAGCCGTGAAATAAACTTGAGCGAAGGTGGAAAGCCGCGTGCCATGGCTATTCGGCCTCTTGCTATGGCGGTCTGCGTCCGAAGATGGTTCATCGCGCCTTCCGGTTGCCGGGCCATCGACACAGACACGAACGGACAGCAGCTAGAAGGCCCACGGCCCATAGTTACTGACTCCACGACGAGAGGAAAGACTACGCACCACCGCGGCTGACTGGGACGATGGTAGTGCCCCCGTCACAGGTGAGGCATGAGATGTACAGCGGTGGCAGAGGGCAGAGGCGAGCAGCGAGCTGAGCTCGTACGCGGCATCAGTTCAACCATACCCAGCTTACCAAAATGGGGGACATCGCAAGGGTCAAGAAAGAACCGCCACTTACGTCCAGCCCAGCTTTCTGCTGTTTGGGTGCGGTGGATCGTGACCAGCTCAAGACCTGGCGGGAGATGCTGGCCAGTCTGGATGCCCCCCAGCACCATACTGTTCCTGACGGCATGGTGCTGACGGGGCATGGCGGCGATCTGACCGTGATGGGCTATGGCGACAGGGTAGTGTTCCAGACCCGGTCCGGCGACTTGGGTGCGCTCTCAGACAGCCAGGATGGAGCGCGTGATCTCGACGCCGCGTTGTCCGACCCGGTCTGCGGTGCGATCGAGCCCCATCTCCTGACCCCGGTGCTGGCGGGGCTGGGCCGTCGCCTGTCTCCCAAGCGGGTCCTGATCAGCACCGCGCTCGACCCCTCAGCGCTCGCGCCCGAGGGCAAGCCGATCGCCGTCAAACGCATTGATGCGCCGGATCTGCGGATCGCGGCGGCTTCTCTGCCGCCGGAAGCGCTGGACGCCCTGCCGGCGATCTTTGGTGACGCCTTCGCAACGAAGCTGGACTGGGCGGCGCTCCTGAAGCCCTGGCGCGCCGCGGCGGTTCTGGGGCTGACGGCGGTGCTGGCGGCTTCCGGGCTCATGGTGGGGCAGGCCGCCTATCTCCAGGATCGCGCCAGTCGGTATCAGGCGGCGCAGGAGGCGGAATTCCGCATGCTGTTCCCCGAGGCGCGGATCGTGAATGTCAGCGCCCAGATGCGCCAGGCGCTCAACAGCGTCAGCGGCGGGGCTGTGAGCGGGGCGGGCTTCCTGCCGCTGGCGACGGTGCTGTCGGAGACGCTGAGCGATGTGGACGGCGTCCGGGTGGACTCCCTGCGCTATGACGCCAGCCGGGGCGAACTCTCTGTGACGGCGCTCTATTCCGGGTTCGGCGACTTTGAACGCCTGCGCATGGCGGCTGAAGCGCGGGGCGCGGTGCTTGAGGATGGCGGCGCGCGGCAGAGCGCGGCGGGAGTTGCAGGCGAATTCATTGTGAGGCTGCCATGAGCCAGACCACGCTCTTCACTCCGCTCATCAAGGCCTTTCAGGCGAGAACGGCTCGCGAGCAGGCGCTTCTGGCCGGACTGGCCGTGCTGGTGGTCCTGACGATCGCCTGGTTCGGCGTTCTGGCGCCGGCGATGAGCTGGCGCGCCGATGCGGCCCGCCGATACGCCAACGCTGCGGAAGGCTATGAGAGCATTCTGGTTCAGGCGTCCGAGTATCGCGCCCTGTCCGCACAGGCGGTCAATGCCGATGATCGTGAGCCCTTGCGCACGCTGGCCGATCGTACCGCGCGCGAGCGTGGGCTGGCGATCAGCCGCGTCCAGCCGCTTGAGGACGGACGACTGGGCGTCTGGATGGAGCAGGCGGACGCGGACTCCCTGATGGGTTGGCTGAGCCTTCTGTCGCGCGAGCATGGCGTCAACGCCGAGCGTGTGAGTCTGGATCGCGAGGGCGAGACCCGGGTTCGCGCCCAGCTCACCCTGGTGCGCGCCGGAGGAGCGGGCTGATGCGTCTTATTCTGATCCTCGGCTTTGTGCTGGCGCTTGTCGCGGGACTGGCGGTCACCGCTCCGACCCGGCTTGTCTATGATGCGCTGGCCCCGTCAGGGGTGGAAGCAGGACTGGTGCAGGGCAGCGTCTGGCGCGGGCAGGCGCTGCGTGTGCGTCTGGGCGGACGGGTTGTCCAACAGGTTGAAACCGGGCTGGAGCCGGCGTCCCTGCTGGCGCTGAGCCCGGCAATGTCCATGCGGGTGACCGATCCCGAGATCCAGATTGACGCCCGGTTGCGCGCGGCCGGAGACGCAATCCGGATCGAGGAAGCGCAAGGCCTTGTCTCGGTCCGGGCATTGCCCCTGCTGGCGGGGCTGCCAACGCCGGCG